TGATGGAAAATCCCTGTTCAGATATCGGAACTGCTTCATTGGGATACCCGATAGATTCTTAGTCGCTGACATGCACGGCCAGGATTCCCAATGCTTCGGACATTTGAAGAAGGAATGGAGACAATCTCTGATGAATGAGCTTCACTTTCGAAACAATCGCGCAGCTTAGTGAATACAGGGGTAGCAACTTGAGAGAAATGGCTGTTTGGGATCGCCGATATGATCTCCCTGAGTGTGATTGAAACCACCCGAGCACATTTCACGTACACTCACACTCAGACGTACACACATACACACTCAAAGCTTCGGTGCACCACACCAATCCAGTGCCATGTTCGGCAATCGTTGGAGAAGCGGGACTGGTGGAGGCATAAACTGCCGCTGATGGTGCCGTACAGAGGATGTTGAGCCTCAACGCACCAAGCTTCTTCTACTGGGTCCCTTCCCGCTTCTTGAGGAGCTTGGAGCCCCGTAAGAAGCCACAGCGATCTGGATGCAAAATACAAGGCAATGCACGTCGTGATGGCTTCATCTCGACACCACAAGTTGAGGGCAAGTCGCAAACCTTGTTGTGCATGTAAACTCATTCGACTCCCTGCAGTCGACTCAACGCCTTCCTCTTCCAACAAGGACAACCCATCACGGTTAATCAGGATTGGTCAGGGTTTACACTATTCCTACAATGCTGGACGTGCGGGCAAAATGCGGTACTGTAGATACACGCCTGTACGAGTCAGATTCATTTAGTTTCGGAACTTCGAAATTCTTGACATCGTGATGAGCGCAAAAGAAATCATCACAATGTATATCCCTCACATCAAGGTCTGCCCTAGACCAGTCTAGTGATCAGCCATCAAAACACATAATGTTTTGGGAGTGCGGAATTCACAAAAGTGCTCTCAACCCTTTTTCTCGTGACGAGCAGACCAATTGAAGGGGTTGGAGCAGCACACTGAGCGAGTGTCAAGGTGATTCCCAACCACACAACCACGCATAACAGTCATTTACGTCACAAACTTTCACATTCTGCATCCAACAACGCTTCTCGTCACCACCACCACCACCACCACAGCCATCACCGCCGGCGTTGTTTACTAGGTGGTGATAGTGCGGAACCTTACCGACCAGGCGTGGCTGGCTAGTTTATCCATGGTGTCCCGTTCACCACGAGGCCCCCCACCAACACTTGGCTACTCCTAGCAAGCGTGTGTTTTAGTTCAAGACGCCATCATCAACCATTCGCTATTTGACGGAATTATCGAGTACTGTGCGTTTACTGTACTGACTACTGAGGGAGGCAAGGGAGTGAGTGTTGATTGGGAAAACTTACCTCGTATGGTGATGGTCTCGTAACTGTTACTGTTTTGAATCCGAAAGGAACTGCAACCTTACAATGATGATGCCTGGTGTTGGTTCATCTTTGTGGTCCGACTCAATGCTCAACCAGGTGTGATACGGACTGCTTGGGCTTTTGATATGTTCCTAACTACTGAACCAGCAACCGCATGGCAGTTCAGTTATTCCTGGCTTACTATCAATTATCCGCTTGTCTGAAGGGGAGTTGTTGCGCTATGTTGAAACGCCTCTCACACTCATGTGACTTAAGCACGGTACCTGTGGAATATCGTGCACTTGCTCAGTGCGCTGAGAAGCTTCATTGTACCCAGTGCAGGGATCATCTCACTCTCATGTTCTGATCTGGCGACGAAGATATGACGACACGCAGAGTGCGGGATCTTGTGAATTGCATGTTGCATGTCACGGGACGGAGGATGCCGCGGCATTGCAGCATTTATCCGACTCGCACGAAAAGGGCAAAGTTCCTGGTGAAGATGAACAACAGCAGCTGTCTCGCGATAATTACGGCAGATCCTCCCTTGTCAATCACCATTTGCACTCCACAGGCGAGCGGCTAACAAGTTGCAGCCTTGGTTGGCATGGTTGGTTGGTTGCATTCACCACCCCCGAAGGTTGTCTGCCCTTCTGACTTGCATGGCCTTCTAGCTTGTCCAGCATGACCCTGAATCCCTGAATCAGGCATTATGAATTACGAAGGATGGTCAAGGATGCAGCGCGAACCCCCACGCCGCCGAGACATTGACTGCAACCCCCTCCTGTCTGCGTACGGTATGTACAGCACAGTACTGCTATTCGGAGCCGCTCTGACAACGCAAATCTGTTGGTTCTTTGTGATTCTGACGAACGCGTGAATAAAAATCCCGTAAAATGAGATGATGGACGGATGCGTGCGTGTCCTCGAGAGACACGAAAGACATGCACACGTGTAAAGTACCGAAACAAGACGCTTGCAGGCTATCGTACAGTAGCCAAGCGCAAGTGCCAGAGGTTATGCCGGGTGCAGATCTACCCTGAAGGTAACATCGCGAACGCAAAGAGCTGGTGCTGACTTGTCCGTGGCAGATTGACTTTGTGAAGTCTGTGGTATAGGGTGGTTCCACTGCACTTGTTGAGTTCCTCCTCTTGACCTCGAGGTTTACCGTTCATTTCCCAATGGTGCGGTAATTACGTGTCCGCGAAGGTTTGAAGGATGTCATATGTGTTTCCTATCACTTTGTTTTCTGTTATACTTCCTTGAAACCTGAAACTCTTGGTGATGCAGTAGTATCAAAACAACCATGGATGAAGCATGTTCTACCGGCGGTGATCTCCAAACGTGGAGCCCAAGATGATGTTAGCAACTTCATGCCTTGCCCGTTCCTGGTGATGGATCTCTCCCCGCATCCTTGATGTGGCTCTTGGTGGTCGTCCTAGGTCCTAGTCAGGAACTGGCAACAATTGCTTTGTTCTAGAAGATGGCTATGAGATGGGGCATCTGGAGTATTCCCCCGCATCACCCACCCCAAAACACCATGTACATTGTACCAAACTTTGGCATCCGTGCTTGCTGCAAGCGCCTGTCCCAGAGAACCCACTGTTGAGATCCATCTCTTGGTAAGGCTCGGTGAGGCATGAGGTGAAACTCGGTGAGGCGATGTGTGGTCCACGGAAGCACGTGACCATAATTGACGTCGGCGCAACGTAACGCCGACACCCGAGGCTCCGCGAGCTACAGCATCCCAAATTTTGCGAATGCGTGGGATGAGCTGAAAAGCGAATGACATCGTTCAATCCCCACGACAGGCACGACAATGTCAATGGCAGCTCCTAGTACGATACGGCCACTGGCCGGTCGAATTGCCCAGGCCTCATCATCAAAGGTCTCCGCCACCACATCTCGAGTCGCCTACTTCTCCACGACCACACCACAATGCAAGCGAAAGACAAAAGACAATAACCCCAAGCGAGGTGTTAGTAGTCTGTACGGATCAGGACCTCGCGAGCCTCTGTCAATGTCAAACATCCCGCTACCGAAGCCAAGACAGATCAAGCCCAGGATCAAGGTCGACCCTGATCATGGTCTGTGGGGATTCTTCCCAGCACAAGGAAAGGCATTAGCAACACCCAAGGAGACTGAGGAGCATGGACGTGCATGGTCTGTCGAGGAGCTGCGAAAGAAGTCGTGGGAGGATCTACACTCTTTGTGGTGGGTGTGTTGCCGAGAGAGGAACATGCTATCTACATCAAGGCAAGAGCTCATTCGATCCAAGCTGGGATTCGGTGAGCGAGAGATTGATACTCGAGATGAAGAGGTAAGATAATCCGAAGCAATATAACTTGCGGGAAGCTGACACCGAAGAAAGGTCCTGAAGACACAGCGAGCCATCAAGCATGTCTTGACGGAACGATATTACACTTGGCAAGACGCCGTCGGTGTCGCCATGAGCGACCCCGAGATCAACTTCGAGGGCGCTGAAGGCCAAGTCTACACACCATCGGCATATGAAGATGAGGTTGATGTTACTGAATGGACACAACCAGAGGCTGAGTCGGAGGCGGCCAAGCAGATTGATGCTGTCGCCACAGAAGCACAGGAGGCCAAGATTGAGAAGGAGGTGAAGAAACAATAAAAAACCGTTACAAGCGAGACGACGTCATGTACTATTTGAGTGATGGGAGAGGTGGTTTATGATGCCTGGTTAGGGACAGGTTGACCTATTCGTCATGTACATCTATGATATGTAAGATACAGTAGACGAAACAAACATGTATATGGGAGTATATGGGCTCTGTGAGCTGCTGACATGAATACATATGATAAATCAAGATTGGCTGTAGCAAGCGTTGTAGATTACAAACTCAAGCCGTAATGACAATCTTGCGCGTATGAGAGCAGTAGTCATACTAAGCTCTTTGACTTCGTATCCCCACACAGTAATGAGCTTGGATGCCGTATAAGTCAAGCTCTTGTTATCTCGTGAAAGGGGTCACTCCACCAAGATGAGTAGAAACTAGAAACGTAGGTGTAACAATATGGAGGTCAACAATTGGGGCAAAGAAAGGAGACACGACCGAGAGACCCTGTCTTCAATATACTAATAGTAATAAACCATTGATGATACTGGGGGTCGTGGCTGGGGCTCTTATATTGATCGGGCTGCTAAGCTAAATTTGATAATGAAGCGGACCACGATGGAAGGGGGAATTAGGGGGTGACGGGATGTCCAACAGCAGCAAAACTTGTTGCAAGTGTTCATCTTAATGTAATTTGATATCGTAGGCGAGAATATGTGAGATTAGAATGGCATGAATTGGGTAAGACGTTGGTTGTTAGAGGCGTCAACCACATTCACACTCAGACTGTTAGACTGTCCAGCTCCAGCCATAAAAAGGGTCCCCACACTGAAGCTAGGCTGTAGTTGCGGTTGATCCCCTAAGAAAAGTAAGGTAAAAGGTAAATGGGACTGACCCCGCCACTAAGCAAGCAGCCGCCAACCGTACAGCACCGCACCTCCCCTCAAGCTTCTCGACCCTCCCGTCTCGTCCTCGTCCTCGCTTCGCTTCCATTTTATCCTAATCCGCCTCTTTTCTCTTCTTACTCCCTATCTCTCTATCATTCTACCTAACGGTTCATCGAACATCAACACCAGAGAATAGCCATCATGGATGAGATTGCTCCTGAATACGACGTCATCGTGCTGGGCACTGGTACGTTCTTGTTCCCCCTCCTTGCCTGTTTCTGCCACCACAAGGCGGATCCCCGCATCAAAGAGAGCTTTGGCTTGATGCCGCCGACTTATTGTATTCCCAAGCGGATGCTGACTGTTTTCAGGATTGACCGAGTGTATTCTTTCTGGGTAAGACAAACTGCATCCATTTTGACCGCCTCGTCGTGTCGCAAAGGGCGCTACCGACCTGCGCAAGCTGCAAGGCGGTATAGGTATAGCACATGTAAAGGCGGTGATGGCTGATTGTGCTTCAACAGTGTTCTGAGTGTCAAGGGCAAGAAGGTCCTCCACATCGACCGCAATGACCACTATGGCGGGTAAGTCTCTTTCCGAATGCAATTACTTTCCCTTAAGCAAAAAGCTAACTGTTTCCCAGTGAGGCAGCTTCCGTGAACCTCGAGACTGTACGCAATCCTTACCCAAACCTCCCGATCTATATCTTGCCATACCGATATCTAACAACAGACCACAGCTCTTCAAGAAGTACGGCAACTTCCGCGAAGGCGAGGAGCCCTGGAAGCAATATGGCCGTCTCAATGACTGGAACATCGACCTTGTCCCCAAGTTCCTCATGTCCTCTGGCGAATTGACCAACATTCTCGTCTCCACCGATGTTACACGGTACCTCGAGTTCAAGCAAGTCGCTGGCAGCTACGTCCAGCAGGGTGCCTCCAACAAGGCTACCGTCGCCAAGGTGCCCTCTGATGCTGCCGAGGCTCTGCGATCTCCCCTCATGGGTATCTTCGAGAAGCGACGCATGAAGTCCTTCATTGAGTGGGTTGGCACCTTCGACCCCAAGGACCCCGCGACACACAAGGGTGCGTTTTCCCAGGAAATGCGTAAAGCAGATAAATCTTGCGAAATTAGACAATTTGCTGACCAATAACCCTCTGTCTAGGCCTGGATATCAACAAGTGCACCATGAAGGACGTCTATGACAAGTTCGGCCTCGAGGCCACCACAAAGGACTTCATTGGCCACGCCATGGCTCTCTACCTCACCGACGACTACATCACCGCCCCTGGCCAGGCTCCCGAGGCTATCCAGCGAATCCGCCTGTACGGTAACTCTGTTGCTCGATACGGAAAGTCTCCTTACATCTACCCTCTCTACGGTCTTGGCGAGCTCCCCCAGGGTTTCGCCCGTCTGTCTGCCATCTACGGCGGAACTTACATGCTCAACACCAACATCGACGAGATCCAGTACGACGGCGACAAGGCTGTTGGCATCGAGGCGACCATGACTGGTGTTGAGGAGATGAAGTTCAAGACCAAGGCCAAGATGATCCTCGGTGACCCCTCCTACTTCCCCAACAAGGCCAAGGTTGTTGGCCACGTCCTTCGAGCTATTTGCATCCTGAAGCACCCTCTTGCTGGTACCAACGATGCCGACTCTGCCCAGCTCATCATTCCCCAGTCTCAAGTTGGCCGAAAGAACGGTAATTACTCCGATTCTGATGGTCATAAATATTTGCTGACATTGTCCTTTAGACATCTACATTGCTTGCGTTTCTTCTGCTCACAACGTCTGCCCCAAGGGCTACTGGATCGCCATTGTCTCGACTATTGCCGAGACATCAGCTAACCACCACGTTGAGCTCCAGGCTGGTCTCGACCGCCTTGGCAAGATTGAGGAGCAGTTCATGGTAAGTTGCCTGGGTTGAAATACGAAGATACATGCTAACAATCTCTAAGGGTCCCCCTATTCCCATCTACGAGCCTCTTGAGGATGGTACCAAGGACAACATCTTCATCTCCAAGAGCTACGATGCCACCAGCCACTTCGAGACCACCACCGACGACGTCAAGGACATCTACCACCGCGCCACCGGTGAGGAGCTCAAGGTTGAGGGTTTGAGGGAAGGTATCCAGGTTGCTGAGGAGCAGTAAAGAATCTCAGCGACCTTCCTAGCAAATAGGATAAAAGAGTAACAAGGCCACACTACTGTAACAGAGCCGGCAGGGTAGGAGGATTCTTTGCTTTTTCAGAAGATTGGCCGATACCGATGGTGCGTCTTGGGCACAATCTCATTATACCTCTTTCGATAGCATCTCACACGACAAGTCAAATGAATATTGTTGAACTGTATACACAAATATAATATTTTGGGTGGATAATATGAAATTTGATTGAAACTTTTATATGCTTCATAAATCATGATCTGTTAAAGAGAAGGAAAGAAAAGTTTGGCAGCCCCTTTTCTAGTACTTCTCAAGGAGGCGCCGTGATATCTGCTATCTAGCTGAACTCGGACAGAGCTTCTTCATCCCAAGCAATAACGCGACACGCAAGCTATTCTTTTTTCTTGTCAAGCACGTACGTACGCAGCGAAGGAATCGCAATCCATTTTCCTATGCGCCCAAACTCCCAGGCAAACCCACAGCCCGCGAACCCGCGAAAATATGCCGGAAAAGAGAGAAAGACAACCAAATGTGGTGGAAGAAAGGGAAGCCTGGTGTTGGCTCTCTATCTGCGGTTTGTCTTGCCCATACCACGCTTTCCGACGACCTGAAAGTGATGTGTTAGCTACCGTTCTGAGATAAATATGGACGTGAGTAAAACCTACCAAGTGCTTGGTGATGGAAGCGGTCGTGTGTCGATCGCCCTCTCCCTGTCGGGCCATGCGGTTCATGCGCTTCTGGTTGAGCCTGGCGATACGATCGGCCTTGGATCGAGTAGCCTCGTCTGCGACACCATCGTCGCGGCGGCTGGTAGTAGGAGCACGGCTTCGAGGTCGGCTCATGGAGCGCATACGCTCCCGAGGAGTGCTGCTGCGACCACCGTCCACATCCATGGCATCGGGGTCCTCGGTACCCATGCGAGATGTGGAACGGCCACGAGGACGAGACTTTGAGCGAGCGCGCTCGGCAATGTCGGTGGTGTCGACACCGAGCTGGTCGAGGGCATCCTCGAACTCGGAGAGGGGCTTCTTCATCTGCTTGCGGGGGATGATGGCCTGGTTCTTGAGACGCTTCTTCATGCGGGCCTCGTTGCGGATGAGCTGCTGCTTCTCGCGGATCAGCTCGGCCTTGCGCATGACCTCGGCCTCCTCGTCATCCTCAATGTCCTCATCAGACTCGTAGAAGCCCTCAGCCTCGAGCTTCTCCTCCTCTTCCTCAAGAGCCTGGAGCTTGGCCTCAATATCGGGATCGATAAAGTCGTAGACGTTCTTGCCATCGTAGATCTCGGGGATCTTGTCGTACTTCCACTCGGGGTTGGCGAGCATGTAGTCGGCCTTCATGTCGACGTTGAAGACACCAGCGCCACCGTTCTCCTCCTCCTCATCACGAGCGAGTCTTCGGCGCTCGGGGTCGGTCTTGTCGTACTTCTTGCGGTCCTTGACACCCTCGGGGATGAAAGTCTCAAGACTCTGACCACCCATGGGCTGAGCAACGTGGATACGGGACATAACATCAGCCAGACGGCCACCGATGTTTCCGCTGCTGTTGGTACCAGCCTTGAGCTTCTGGTTAACACGCTCAGCGATCAAGCGCTCGCAAGCAGCATTCTTGACCTCCTGAACACCCTCCTGGGTGTTGCAGGACAATTGGAGCATCTCGACCTCACCAGACTTGAGGATGCTTTGGAGCTCAGCCTGAAGCTCGGGCTCAAGGTCTTCGGGTCGAGTAACATCAATCTTGTTGACAACAACGAAGACAAGCTTGTTGGAGAACAGAGGCCTGATGCTCTTGAATAGGGCAATCTGGGCGCTGACTGTATATCCGCACTGCTCTGAAAGATCCATAAAGTACATAATGGCGGATCTCAAATGGGCAATGGCAGTGATACTTTGCATCTCAATGGTGTTCATCTCCTCCAGAGGGTGATCCAAAATACCGGGAGTATCGATGGCCTGGAAGCGGAGATACTTGTAGTCGAAGTGACCGACAAACAGACTCTTTGTGGTGAAAGCATAGGGCTGAACGTCGACATCGGCGCGAGTAACGCTCTTGAGGAAACTAGACTTTCCAACATTGGGGTAACCGCAGATGAGCAGGGTTCGAGTGTTGGGGTCGATCGAGGGCAGACGTCCGAGATGCTGGCGGACCTGATCAAGGTACATAAGAGGGTCCTTGAGTCGCTTAATGAGGGTGGCCATGCGACCGAGAGCGGCCCTCTTGAGCTGCTTGCACTGGAACAGAGACTGGCCGTACTTGAGGAGACGGACATAATCGCGGGAGATGGTCTCAATCAGATGCTTGGCGGTAGACATCTGACCGAGGGCGATTCTGAAATGGTCGGCATCGTAGAGGGTGTTGAGGAGATCCTTGTGGAAAGGGTGGATGTCCTGCAGACGAGGGAAGCTCTCGAGGATGGCGCCGAACTTCTCTGAGAAGGTCTCCTGTGTGAACTTGACCTTTCGAGTGTAGAAAGCTATGGGAGTATATGTTAGTGATCTACTGCAATCCTGGCTGTGGCGAGACAAAAGTCACAAACCTCGAATACGGCTGATCTTGAAACCAGCGCGAATCTGCGTTGGCAGCTTGCGCTGGGTCCGGCTCAGAACAATATCCAGAAACTCCTGCTGAGTAGGCACCGGGGGGATGTCCTTCCAGGTCGTCTTCATCTTGGGCGATCTGGTATTTTTGGAGTTGGATTTGTTTTTGGGGGGGTATCAAAAAGGATAGAGACGGACGGAGAGAGAAAGTGTCGCTCGTCGCTCAAAGAAGAGGTATCAGAGATGGCAAAATTTAGTTGGATCGAATATTTTTTCTTAGTGGGTCGTGGCGGTCAGTCTGATTTCTTATCGATAAGAGAGAAGTCACTTTTTGTGTGATGGACTCGGGCAGTCTCAGTTCTAGAGGAGTTGATATTGGGTCGAAAGAATATTATAGTATTTATACAACGTTTTTGATTCCTTAAGTGAGTGCTTATTGAAGATAATTACATTATATAGAACATAAAAATCATTTGCTGATATATACTCGTTCCCGTTCTCTCTGCTAACCGAACTTTTTTATGGTACTTCTTTATCTGCATCTCCCCCCACCTCAACCCCGCTGCCATACATTGATCCCGAAGGGTCCAAGGCCGGCTCCGGGCTCAACACCACTGAGAGAGAGACCTGCAAGAGGGGATCGCAAACTTTGCTTTAGAAACATTCACTCCCAATCTTGACCTATACCAATTCATATATAAACACATAAGTAACCATGTCTTCTCAACTCGCCCCCTACAAGCAAGAATTCTTGCAGGCCGCCATCGCTGGCGAGATCCTCAAGTTTGGCAGCTTCGAGCTCAAGTCAAAGCGCATCTCACCCTACTTCTTCAACGCCGGCCTATTCCACACTGCCCGTCTCGCCGGCGCCATTGCTACTGCTTTCGCCAAGTCCATCTCTGAGGCTCAGCAAGAGACCGGCCTTGACTTCGACATCATCTTTGGTCCCGCTTACAAGGGCATCCCTCTTGCGTCCTCCATCGCTGTCAAGCTCGGCGAGATCGCCCCTGAGAACCTCGACCGTGTCTCTTACTCTTTTGATCGCAAGGAGGCCAAGGACCACGGTGAGGGCGGTAACATTGTCGGTGCGCCTCTGAAGGGAAAGAAGATCCTCATCGTTGACGATGTCATCACTGCTGGAACTGCCAAGCGTGAGGCCATCGACAAGATCCGAAAGGAGGGCGGTATCGTCGTTGGTATCGTCGTTGCCCTCGACCGCATGGAGAAGCTCCCTGCCACCGACGGTGATGAGTCCAAGCCTGGCCCCAGTGCCATTGGCGAGTTGCGAAAGGAGTATGGCATTCCCATCTTCGCTATCCTGACCCTCGATGATATCATTGCTGGTATGAAGAGCTTTGCTTCAGAGGACGACATCAAGCGAACTGAGGAGTACCGTCTCAAGTACAAGGCCAGCGACTAAGTACTTACCGTATGGAAGAAAAGAAAATGGTGTTGAACGGTTGAGGTTATGATATCAAAGGGTCACAAAATAGACGGAATGGGAAATAAAAAAAGAATTTGAACACGCAAATGCGGTTTTTATAGACCAGCTATCTCATTATTTTTGATGATGCGGCTACTGTGGTGATATCTTGGTGATGTGAAGTGAGATGAAGCAACAGATGCTTCTTGAGAGGAGACTCATTGATCAACTGCCAAAAAAAAAAATGCTGGCAAGAAGCCTGTAAAAATCTATGATGGCGATTTCTTCGCCTTGGATGTTGGAGAATCCCCTTCCTTGTTCCTCCGTGTGGGTTCCTCCTTGGTCTTTCTCGTAGGACCACGGAGTTCAAGCACCTAGTCATATGTCAGTGGCTTTCAGTATATGTCATAGAGGTATTACTGACCATGGCATGCCAGCCTTGACCAGCAAGAGCTTCTGTGCTTGGGCCAAGGTCTTTGAATCCAAAGCACTTATAGAATTGGATCGCGTACTTTGGCATATTAGCTTGGCCCGGATTTCAGGTGTCAATTATGGTTGCTTACCGGTTGGCAAATTATGGCAACTCGATCAGCCATTCCAGATACATTCATAAGCTCGAGATATGACTTCATCACCGTTTTCCCAATGCCAACTCCCTGGACCTCTGGGCACACGATGAAAGAATGGAGACAGATTGTTCTCCCAGAAGATTGATGGCCTAGAGGTGAGCCTTTGCTTGCTTTCGAGTCTCTCCAGTTCTCAGGCATGGCCATGTCGGCATCAGTTACGACTGGGTGGGTTCCAAGTGTTGCAAGGACGTGCGCAAACATGACATGTTTGGCTCCATCGCATCGTCCTGACTCGACTGGCCGACTGTGTTGCATGGTTGTGAGAGAGATCTTCTTAACATCGCTTGGCCTCACGGTATTGAATAAACCGTAGCAGACTCCTGATTTCCGGATACGATATTCGATCTGTTTTGCTGGTTAGCAAATCTGACCTGAGCTGGTGGTCCCATTGCCCTCCCAACAACGAATTGGTACCCATATATCATGACTTGCCTTTTCACGTGTTGATCTATACCTCGCTTCTGAAAGTGCGACATTTTCAAGAGTAACGCACGTATCGATATCGTTCTCGGTCAGGGGCGAGAGCATAGGAGCCCAGTGAAAGGGGATGACCTTCTTCAGAAGGCCAGCTTCTGAGTTCCTCTTCTGGATTCTCATTTGACAGAAGTTCCTTTTCGAATTGACCATGTCCTCATCTGCGTCTCCGTCGTCGATGGCGCCGTCAGAATCGTCGTTCTCCAGGTTTTCGAACACGCCGCCAGAGAAGATCATATCTCTGGCGGCAGAAGCGAATTCATTGTTCTTCTTCTTTTCCATGCTTCCCATGAGGGTTTGAGTTTCGGTTGCCACGTTGAAAGGTGAGCCCTGAAAGGGTCTTGAGCCGGTGATAGATGGTTACTAGAGGTACTACCTCAGTATAAGTCGGTCGTCAGAATAAAAGCTGCAGGTGAGATTTGTGGGCCTTTTTCGAGCAGTGAGAGCTGTCGCAGAATGTCTTTCTGTTTCGTCGATAGTGCTTGCGTTGAGATTATATTGCAAATTTGATGTTGTCTCTTGGTGATATGATTATGATGCGACGAGAGGAATCAAAGCTCACCCGTGCACAATGAGCGTCGGTATGAGGCACAGGCGTCTTCAGGTGTGAAGCGTTGAGGAGGTTTGTACCCCGTTTGGCTCAGAATCGGGTGAGTTTTTGGTTACTGAATCACACAAAGAGACTCAGACTCGTTTGACAGTGAATGAAACGTCATGGGACGACGGGTTTCGTTATCCTGTTTGCCCATTCAACTTCTGGTGGACCCACGAATGCCGAGCGATCGGATGATGCAGTGAGGCCGGCGCCGGAATGGGGCCAGTTTCAATCGGTGGGTATAGGTGACAATGGCTTCAGGGCGTTGTGACAGTTGGTTCCAGAGCTTGTGAGAGTGCTGTACGACTGTTGACGATGTCACAAATAGTGAAAATGGTGTTGAACCGACCTTCGAAAATTGTCTTTCTTCCCAACTTTACCATTCTCGTCCCGATGGGTTCATGAGCGGGGAGAGCTTGTTCCGTCTCCATCGCCAGTGGTAGCTTGGGTCTGGCACATGACATATCAAAAGTCGCGTGACCTCAACAAAGGAGAACAAACAGAATAGGAAGTCACGGCAAATTGCAGATGAAAATGGGTCAAGCAGCTGCCAGGTCAATAAATATCAAGAAGGAACTCATTGATGTGGTGATGGTTGGGAGATGCCATCTCAGGTGTCTAGGGTAATCTGAGTACGAAGACCAACATCCAGCAATTAATAAGTCAATGGTGGACAAGGTTGTTGTTAAAACTTTTCAACATACCTATCTGAGACGATAAGCATTGATATTGTGTTAATTCGGACTTTTGACGACGGTCAGGTAACAAGGGTACAGAAACATGGCGGCTGAGAATACTGTACCTCGTATGAAATCTTACACGGTGACAGTTACAGATAGATAACTACCTAGTAAATAATGGTCCCAACTTCACCTCAACGTCAATCAGTTCACGACAACCATGATGAAACCTTACTAGCAGCCTTAGCAGTGAAAAATCTTGCTTGGCCCAGGCAACGGCACACCGGAACAGCAAGCCTATAGCATGCATGTTCAAACCAAGGGTGCCTTTCTGTGCCTCCAGGTGGCAGTCCTGCAGGAGATCATTCTGTGCCTCGCCGGGGCGACCTCCCTGTTGCTGTAACCAAGACGATCAGCAGTTGGGGGGTCCCTGAAACGGCAGCAGCCGCATGCAATCCCGGGTTCCTTTATCCTGGTATGCCACAAAATCGCGAAAGCATATCCCACGTTCTCTCCCCAGTGAGGCCTTCAATATCACAGGAGCGGTTGGGGTTTAGTTTTGTATGTAGACCAAGGGGCCTATGCATGATGCCTTCTTTGGAACAAAATCGTTGCATTTCGCCCGATCTGGTTACCAATGCTGGATCTGCGAGGACAAGGAACCTGGGAGTAGTGCTGTACATACAGTAGCATCTGTAAGGATATGTCACTCTTAGGGAGCAAGAAAGCTGCAGACCTTGAATGAGGTGCGAAAAAGGATTAGTCCCGGGGCCTGCTGTGTATATAAGAGCCCTAACTAAGTCTTTTTGTCACTCACGATAGATGTGCTATATTTTGTTGCGTCCTCTTCCACGGTCACCTCCTTGACCCATAGAGCGCTCTGCCCCCTTTGCCTGGCTGCATAAAGAGCACTCATTCGTCATCGTCAATGGCGCCTGGTTCTCCGCAATCATGTCCGAACCGAACTGTGCTGTAGGTCAGCATCCATAGGCTTCCGTCGGCTTCCAGCAGTTGCGTGGTCCTTGACTGCGAGCGTGCGTATGTGCAGTTGTGCCTAGAGGTACATGAGGGATACAATGCAAGCCCGCTGACAGCGAAAACAGGAAATATCTGGTCAGAAGGATTGAGATGGGGGTTTTTGAGGTAACCATAAGAGAAACTTGAATATCCATCCATGTCAAGAATGCTCTTATTATATGGAACTTGGTTGGCTGATGAGCTTCTTGGCCCGAGCTACGGTAGGGCAGAATGGAGGGGTGCAATATGATGTAAGTCGATGACTGGTACTGTTACAGGTACGATGAACCGCAAAGCAACTGTATACATGTACCGTTACCCTGTATTCTTCCTCAATTGGGGTAAGCTATAAAAAAAACTCCTTGCTCTCATGACAACATATGAAACCAGTGTGAGAAGCGAAGCTGAGTGATCTCAGAGCTACAATTGCTCTTTATCAAGCATCAAGCGGCATAACTACCCCTCAGGTCCAGCGGAACCTAAGCGGCAGCGGAAACGGCCCCTCCAATAGCTCCAACGTTAGCCAGTAGCTTGCTTGGAACTTTATGTGCAACTGCCTGCACCAGCCTGCACCTGCATCTATCTCCATCTTCATCTGTTCTTTCCTCTCCGATCTTTTTTTTATTTTACACCAACCAACCTCGTGCACTAAATTCACGATCGTTTTCACTTCAATCTTCTTCAACTAATCGCTTACCACGTCGACTTGCTTTTCTTAGGCACTTTGGGCTCCTATTTTTGAAGATCCCCAGTGGGTACCTTACCTCAGGAGCTGTTACAGTATTGTGCTTAGGTAGGTAGCTAAGTAGTTGTTTGGGCTTTCTTTTCTTAGCCACCCTCGTGGCCACGCCTACTCCTCTCTTCTCACGACCAGCCACTTTCTCGAGAGCCCTCGACGACTCTATTTCGTCCTCTCTGGCCTAAACTTAAATACTTCAAACATACCCAGGGAAAATATCAGACGAACAACAACAGACATCACAATGTTAGTTCACTGCCCGGACATATTTACGTCATCTCCGGCTATTGGATGCTAACTGACAACAGGCGCATCACCCTTAACATATTCAACCCCCAGGCTGGGGAGCAGGATAGCCTGCTCACCCTCGAGATCTTTCCCGACATGACACTCGCTACCCTTCGCGAGTCTATTCAGGCAGAATCGACCGTTCCTCCAACCTCGCAGCACATCTACCACAACGGCCGCCTAATTTCGGATGATACCCAGACCATGGAGCAGCTGCAGATCGTGGATGGAGAGATGTTGGCCGTGCACGTCAGAGATATGCGAGGAAGCACTGGTGTACCAGAACAACCTCGACGCCCTCAGCCTAGGAGACCAGCACAGAACGAGCAGGATCCTGAGCTCATCCGCCTTCAGGTTCTTGGCCAGCCCGCCCTGAGACAACAACTCCAGTCACAACACCCAGAACTGGCGGCAGCCGTCGACAACCCTGCCCGCTTTGCACAAATCTTCCATGACAGTCATAATCGAGAGCAACGCGAGCGCCAGGAACGACAGCGGGAGATCGAGAGACTGAACGATGACCCTTTCAACGTTGAGAACCAGAGAAAGATTGAGGAGATGATTCGACAGGAGCG